AGATTTATAGGATTTTCTTTTTGATTCTTTCCATAGTTAAGGCTCTATGTACTTGTATATATATTTGTTACTTCTTGAATACAACACAAGAGAGATTTCTCTATTGTCTCTATACTTTACAATACAGATCAATGCAATACGACTACTACTCTTTTTTCTGTGATCATAAATCAAAGAGGCCAACCAATAGTTAGGAAATGCTACCTAACGCTAACATCAAATAGCATACCATACATCATAACGTCATAAATCATAACAGGTCAAGCCCCTAAATTCTGGCAAGTATATCCTTGCAGCAACAAAAAAGAAAGTACAAATAAAATGTTCGAACCTTCAAGATTCCAAGCAAAGAAACACCTATGTCTTCACTGTGAATGGCTCTCTTTATAGACAGCGCAAAAGGTCTCCCGCCACAAGATATGGAATTATACTCCTTTTGGGTACCCATGAAATCAAAACCTCTGCCCTGATGGCAAATCAGTTTCCTCCACATTGCCTCACAATAATTAATTAAATTAGCGATAGGTGCCACCTGAAAGTGATTATGCAACAACTATTAGATCTTTATGCAGCTAAGTGAGTTTTGAGTACTAGAAAGTAAAGCAGTGTCCAACCCCTGACCCCCAGAAAGAAAAAGACCTTTGATAATGATAATTTCATAAAAACCTGCAAACTTACCAACTTCAAAGGAGCGGAACATGTTTCCCTGCTACAAGCACATCTATCGTGCTTGACAAATTCCATGAACAACCCATGCTGCTGAACCAAAATTTATTTACAAGTGAGAACAACTAAGACCCAATTTATATGCTCACAATGACAACACACTTACCCGAATTTGGAAGGCTGAAGCAGGCAAATAAGAAGTTGCATATAACTGAGCAAATCCTTTCTTCTGACAATACCTTGCAATTTTGCACATCAGCTAAGGATAGTTTTCTATGACACTAGACACAAAGAAAAGATATCATGATAAAACAGAGTCTTAGTTCTAATGTATATCATCGGTAAATGCAAGCAACTTACACTTGTCGATCCCAAGATCTCTTTCTCAGATAAGATCCCAGAGAACTTTCTTCTAAAAGAGATTACGACAAGTAATACCCTGAAGCAAATGAAAAGATCATCATATTAGTGATAGTATAAAGACACACACAAAATCAACTTGATCATTGTTACTCTTGCATCACTACCATAGCCTGGCAACAAATACTAAGGAGTCAATAAACTTCGCAAGAAGGCTCTGGCAGCAGGCCACTGTATAACATCTGTGGGCCCAAAAAAGATGAACTGGTGAATACAATGAATAAGCATCTTGTACAGTCGAAACATTTACAACGAGTATCTAGAAGCCCTAACCCTGTTTCCAGCAAGGAGAAACACTCCACGGAAATGCTAGTTTTAACACAAGAGCCGAGTATAAGTGTCTTTGTCCATGAATAACTTGGATTTATAAAATGAACGTTTTTCACTGATACCTGAGAAAAGCAACCCATTAGAAGAATAAACAAGTAAACTTCATACTTCTCTCAATGTCTCTCTAATCTTCTTATCAAAGTAAAGTTACACTTTACCACCTTGAAAACATGGAAATTAGTCTAGAAGCTATTGTAACATACCATTGCTCCAACTCTCACACTGTGTGGCACAGAAAGCTGTGGATCCGTTAACAGTAGCAACAGCTCATTATCCAACTCAACAATCATACCCCTCGTGTAAACTCCTGTCACAGTCCCAGTATAAGTAACAAGTTCTCCCTCCCCCCTAGCATCAATTTCCTTAACGGGGATACATTGCTGGGGCAACTCATGAATATGCATCAAAGAGTTATCCGCAGCTACATACATCAACTGAGACACCTTTTTCCCCACAAATACAAGTCTCCTCTTCAACCCCGATAATGAAACAATTCTCCTTATTAGTCTTGTAAACACTGGATGCCAAGAAGAAGCAGATCCACAGAAGTACACAATCTCGTGTTTGTTATAACAATGACCACTCATTTCATCATTCAAATTCTTCATATCCAATCTTAAATCTTTAGGATTACACAATT